GATTTCGGACACTTAACTGCAGTCAGTTAAGGCAATCAGACACTTAAACTATCACTAGTTTAAGGCAAATGATTCGGACACTTAACTGTAGTCAGTTAAGGCAACAACAATATAGCGATTGATCAACATTAGATCGGGCATTCCCAAACGAGTGATCCTCTAGTTTGGTCTATGAATCCCATTTATGCGTTTTTATCTAATTCATCAAATGTTCATGTTTTCATAAGCCTGTTCTAATACAAGATCTATTCTAGAGGTCTTCTAGATAGCCTTAACATCAATTAACTAATAGGTATATCTTAGAGTTCTTCTAGATACCGTTTAACAATACAAATCGTTTAATAATTATCAATATATTCATTACTCTCATGGCTGAATCATCAATAATCATTTTGATCAGTTAGTTCATTATTCATGATCATCCATAATAATCATTCATCATAATCATTAATCAACATAACAATTGATAACAAATAGCGGTCTAGTTTTGAGTGTTAACACTCTAACTTACCGTCATGCATCACATAATGTTTTATATGCCTAAAACATCATTTTTATTATACAAAATCATATTTGTATTGTTCATAATTAATTATTATCAAAAATAGGATTTTAGAGCATATTTTCAGGAATATTTTCGTAGCAGGATCTGGAATTGAGGAAAATAATTTAAAATAATCATTTAATTTATAAAAATTGATTTATATAATTTTAAATAATCCATTCATTCATAATAATCGATTTTTACAATTTAAATAATCAATTAATTCATTATAATCGATTTTTACAATTTAAATAATCAATTAATTAATTTTAATCGATTTTTACAATATAAATAATCGATTAATTCATAAAAAAATCAATTTTTACAATTTAAATAATCCATTAATTCATAATAATTGATTTTTACAATTTAAATAATCAATTAATTCATAATAATCGATTTTTACAATTTAAATAATCAATTAATAAATTTTAATCGATTTTTACAATATAAATACTCGATTAATTCATAAAAAATCGATTTTTACAATTTAAATAATCAATTAATTCATAATAATCGATTTTTACAATTTAAATAATCAATTAATTCATAATAATCGATTTTTACAATTTAAATAATCAATTAATTCATAATAATCGATTTTTACAATTTAAATAATCAATTAATTCATAATAATCGATTTTTACAATATAAATAATCAATTAATTCCTAATAATCGATTTTTACAACATAAATAATCGATTAAATGGTACTGACTTCGAACCACTGATCTGAATAAAATTATAATCGATTTTTAGTAAGTAAATAATCGATTTTCGGCCACTGTTCATCATCTTCTTCCTCGGGTCAGTTTTAACATTATCATTTTTAATCACCAAACTTCAATTTAATTATATAAAAATGTTCTCCAATGTTCACAGATCATTTTAGAGTCATTAATTCGTAATTTAACAACAATTTAATTGTTTATGATTCTTGGTTCTTCAAACATGTCAAACACAAAACTCAACCAAACGACCGTTTATGAACGTAGAAACAATCTATATGAACATTCTAGTCACTAGATATATCTACGGGCTTACCTCCAAGCTTATCGAAGGTTTTGAGAATTTTCCGGTGAAACTTCCGGCGACGATAACTCCCAACTCCGGCGACTTCGGTGGCAACCAACAATATCAGACTGCTCTCCTCACTCTTATGAACACAATGGTACTAAAATTGTAAGTTTTGGTGAAGAATGAGAATGTTGATGATACTCTTATATAGGGAAGGGAAGGAGAAGGAGACGCAGTTGCCGAGTCATTGACGATTCACGCTAGGCTTAGTGCGCTGGGAGGCGTCGTTCGCACAGTGTCCTGATTAGGACCAATTTTGGTTCCAGTCGGGATACACTTTTTGGTCCAACTTTTTCTGACACCACATTTTTGGGTGTTTGACTTTAACAGAGTCAAAATTGGTTTAATTGACCTTTCTCATAAAAGGTTCTCTCATTTAATTCACATTAATTATTCTCATGATTTATTTCAACAAATCATTTCAATATTTACATTCTAAACAAATTTTTTATTTACTCTTGATTTGGGTCTGTACTCAGGTTCTCAATCAAGACCACACAAATAGTCCACATATTGGATTTATCTCTATGAGACTTATCCAGATTTTAATATTAGATGTCAAAACAAATTTCATATCGGCCCAAAGCCCAACAATAATTTATTTTAATCAAAACAATTGTGATTAATTGATTATTTATTCATTAATAATTCTAGGGTATGTTTTGGGGCGTTACACTGAGTACCTTTCAGTTTCAAGAGTAGATTAATATATTTGCTTAGTAGTAAAAATGTGAACGTGTCTTCCTTCATTCAGAGGAGGGGGGGGGGGGTATTTATACAATGCATTTTCCCATGCTTGAATTTCCTAGCAGTTTGTTTCTGACGTAGTGGCCTGGGACCACCGAGATCATGTCCTTCGATTGACAATACAAGGAGTATGATAACAATAGGGCGGCTAAAAATACGATGGCTACAACTAACATACAGATAATAGTATCATGTCTCACTATACAGGTTTCCACGCCCGTAGCAGGCCCAAAGTGCTTTGCTGGCGGCAGAGGACGAGTGTGCATGTGCTCTGCTGTTGGAAGACGGCCGAGCGAGGATCTAACCGTGTCCGCCCAAAGTTCGAGTGCATGTATTCGGGCTGAGTAAGGATGTGTGTCCGAGTGTAGTTATCACCTTGGGGCCTTGGTTTCCTTTGAGTTCCGCTCACCCGAGTAGGGTGCCATTAGCTGAGCACATCCGATTTCTACAATTAAATGGGCTTCTAACTTGTAATATGTCCAATACTTGATTATCTTTGTATTTGACACATAAATCAAATTTTAAAAAAAATTAAAATCTTATTTATACAATTTCATTTTTTTCTTGTAATGAAAGTATATCTTATGGATTATATTTTAGATTTAATTTTATCTAGTGCTTTCTCAAATATTTTTATTTTAATTTTAGCTTTTTGAAAATTTTATAATTTACAAGATATTTTGTATTTTAGACGTAGCAATAACATTTTAATATCTGTCTGTAATATATTTTTAAAGATTTATTATGAATTTTTCAAATTTAAATTATAAAAATATGTATCATTATTCGTACTACTACTACTACAATCATCATCAACATCATTACCAAGTATTATTGATACTTGTAATGAGTTTTTACATGTAATCTAATTTTTGGAAGAGACATTCATGTAGAATCGTGTTTATTTATCTATTTAAATTCTAACTTTAAAAGACTGTAAATATTTTAAAATTTAAATAAATAAGATATTCTACCCTTTAAATTACAATAAAGACAATTATTTAAAAAGTAATCGCTAGTTTGATTTAAAATATTTTGTAGATATTAAAAAATGATATTGTATAAATAAATATAATTTTAAAAAATTAAAACCTAATTTGATATGTGGCAAGCACAAAGTTTATCATGTATAAAAAAGTTACAGGTTAATTTGGAAGTCATATGAAATGTCGCATGTACACTAGGAAGCCAAATGGACGGCCACATTACACTCAGCGCCTGAATTCTCAAAATTCCGACAAGGGGTGTCCTATCATTATATTTTTATGAAATTTGCACTGAATATGATTAAAACATAAATCATTTCCCAATGTAGGACTTAAACTTTTTTATTCCTTAAATAGGATTTAATGATGATTAGTGAGAAGAATAATGTCCAAGTGATGCTGGACATTTAGTTGAATAATCAATAATGACTAATAGATAATGACCAATGGTCCTACATTCGGAATTAAAAATATATGGTCCTATATTGAGAAAGTCATTATGTTTTAGTCCTATTTAGGTAAATTACTCTATATTTTTTTAAAGATAAATTACATTTTTGATACAACTTGATGATATGATATCTTTGAAAAATGCTAGGGGTACACCATTTGTCCCTCACCCCCTCCTTGTCCACATAATTGGGCAAGAAAATCAAAAAAATAAATAAATAAAAATTAATTTAAAATGGGTAATAGAGAAAAAGGTAGTGTATAAATGGGGTCTAGCATAGCTCGATATCTTTTTATCAAAATATCTAAAATTGGGATACCTCTTGAAAAAAGTTCGTGAATCAAGCCTTTGAATATTCGCCTGAAAGCTGGTACAACTCTACTATGTTTTAATGACGCGAGTGTGAAACAATCTTCTTCTTCCCCGTCCATTTTTTCCTTGCTCAACTCGTCAAATCACTGAAATAAGTTCATGCCCCGCATGTTCTTTCTTCTGAAATTGATGGAATTTACCCATCTTTAAGCAAAAAATGGGGAAAGAATCAGATAGAATTATGTACCTTCCAAGCGTGTTCTGTTTGTTCTTCCTCGCCGCCATGTTTGCCGGAGCTGCTTCCAAACCTCTCGGAAATTACTGTCCAAACAGCACTATTTACACTCCAAACAGCACTTACCGGTCCAACCTCAACTCCCTCCTCTCCGCTCTGGCCTCCAACGCCACCCGTCCAAACGGATTCTACAACTCCACCTTTGGCGGCGGAGTCTCCGCCGCCTACGGCCTGTTCATGTGCCGCGGCGACGTCTCCGTCCCTGACTGCCAGGCCTGCGTGATCGACGCCGGCGAACAGATACTGAAGGCGTGCCCCGTCCAAACGGACGCCGTCATCTGGTACTCCAATTGTATGTTGCGTTACTCCAACGCGTCCATGTTCGGAAGATCCGACGCGTCGTTCGGGCTGATCATCCGCAATTCGCAGAACGATTCGCAGCCGGCGAGGTTCATGGATTCGGTCGGGAACACGCTGAACGCGGTGGCTGTTGCGGCGGCGGCGGGAGACGGATCCGGCCGGAAATTCGCGACTCTGGAGGCGAATTTCTCTGCATTTGAGAAGATCTACACTTTGGGGCAGTGCACGCCGGATCTAACGGAATTGGATTGCCGGAGCTGCCTGTCGAGCGCAATTGGCCGGCTGCCGGTGTGTTGTTACTCGGCAAAGGGTGCTAGAACCATCTACCCAAGCTGCAATTTTAGGTATGAGGTGTACCCTTTCTACAATAACAAGCGGCCGGCCTCTACACCACCGCCGTCTCCTTCTCCTCTCCGCCCTGCTCCGTCTATTCCACCTCCCCCCCTTTCTACCACCTTTGAAAGTAAGCCTCTTGACCATTATATTTCTTTCTTTCAAATAAATTTCAAACACATTTTTCACTTTTGGTAAATTATTTTTATTTTCAAGATTTTTTTTAAAAAAATTCATAAAGTCAAAGTGTCAAGTTGATTTAGAGACGGAGGAAGAAGGTGTTTGGCATTGCGATAGATTCTTGAAAAGTGAAAGTCATTATGCCGAAGTCCAAAAACATTTAATCCAAACTTTGTGAAAAAGTACTTTTGGAACCTATGTCACACTCAAAAGTGATACAACATACGTCAAACACAAAATTACTTTGGACGAAGTAAAAACTCTGTTCTTATTACCACAGACTAACAAAATCTACCATTATTTGTCCTTTCAGCTCATAAATGGACAGTTTTAAGTGAAGTGTGTGTTTGGTGTGGATGCAGGAAAGAAGAAAAGTTCATCTTCTAAAGTGATCATTGCCATTGTACTTCCAGTGGTTGGGATAATACTCTTCATTGCACTCTTATGTTGTTGTATGAGAATTAGAAATGTCAAGAAAGGATATACAACTGCAGCACACCAAACAGGTTCAATGTTTACCATGTTTTACCTTTTGTTTGTTTGACTTGCCATCTTTTTTCACCTTTTGAAATTTCCTGTAGATGTGTCTGGGATTTCAAGTGTGGAATCATATGATTTTAATACCATTCAAGCCATTACAAATGATTTCGCCCCCGAAAGTAAAATTGGTGAAGGTGGATATGGCTCTGTATACAAGGTAATAACGGTTAAATGAACTAATTCAATCAAAAGCTCAAACTTACAGTTGAAGATTCCCATGAATGTTTGTTTTGGCGAGGATAAATTG